TTTTAGCCACAAGTCATTTTTATGGAATGTTTGTTCAGATGATTTCGTAGCAAAAATACTATAGCTGGTCGAAAACGCTATACAACAAATGCCAGTTTGCCTTTAGTGACTTTAGTAAATGTTTTGAGTTCATGGAAATACTGAAGCGTTCGGTTGACTTCATTGCGTTTGTTCTGTTGGTTACCAGTATACACCTGCCCAAGATGTTAGATATGTAGTTCGAGATACTGACTTGCTTTTGGCTAGTTTAAAGTCTAGGTTAGTGATGATAGTAGTGCGTTTTTTTCAATGCTACTGGTGATTGTTATGGTTGGGTCGCGCCTGTAATGCCGTTAACAGTGTTGTGACCGGAACGGCAATGGCATTGGTACAGCGTTGGCAAATTGCAAACGAGCCGACGTGATATTCAATTACGTCAGGTTCATTAGGATGGTTTAGTTTTTGTTATATTTGCCTTGCCGGTAGAGGACAATTTATTACTCTTGGTTTAGCATTATACCGCTTTGTATTGTGACACTGTGCTCTCATGTTGCGGATTCTATCTTCCCAGAGGGTAGAGTTAACATTTTCGAAGCTCTGAAACTCAAAACATTGAGGGTTCAGAAGAGGTTCAAACGAAATTAAATTGTTTTTACTAAATATAAGTCACATAATGACGATATGCACTCTGTAACTTGAGATTGACACTGAAGTTGACTTAATCTAGTAAAATCGCCGCATTTGAACCTGTCCAAGCGGTTGCGACAGCGAGCTAGATGTCATGTTATCAGGCTTCCAGGCGATTCATTTGAAGTTGTCTGTTTTATTCATTAGTGCTCGGACAATGTACCATTAATGGTCAGAGATTAATTTGCCCACACTGTTTCAGGCATTTCATTCAATTTCGAAAAATGCCCGTGGTTATATACGTCAACTCTATCATTCTCCGAGCTGGCACCGTCTTAAATAGAACGTATACGTACCACCCCAGCTTGGCAAACCCTTGTTTTTGGCGTCTGATCAGATATATACACCAGCGAAACGCAATTATGACTGGGTTGAAATCAACTTGCGTCGCAATAGGACATTTCATCTGTTCTGTCTGGACAATCTTTTAATATTCGTGTGATTCGTGTGATTTTGGCCTTTCTTTTTCTTTTGTAGTTTTTTCTTCGGAATGTTTCATATACTGCCAGCTTTGTTCTACTACCTCGGTTTGTGCGCATTGGTTTTTATTTTGTATTTCTTTAATTGCTTACTGTTTACTTCCTTTATATTGGCTTGTGCGTCGAATTTCTTATCACCCGAGTTTCTTATCGCTGCTTTAGTTTGTGTTCATAGTTAGAGAGTTGATGCCCTCATGTCAAGCGGGGGGCACACTACATGTTGCTAGCTGTATTCTTTACATATTTAGCCATATACAATACACCGTTGTATTCAGTTAAGGCAATGTTTGTGTATCACGGTACTTTTCGCTTGAAGTCTTTAATATTTGTAAGCAATTTATTTGTCAAGATAATTTTTAAATAGTTCAGTACTGCACTTAGTTGTATTGAATAAGTTGCGTGGTAAACTATTAAAATATGTGCATTTATGAACACCAAGCCTAGCCTCACGTGTAGTGATTTCATTGGTGCTGTGACTTTCGTATTGATGCATGGAATAGTGCACAGTCTTCCACGACACTTTGAGTAAGTGTGTTATATTTGGAACATATCCTCCATATGTATAACATTTTGTAAGTTTCTAAGCAGCCAATTTCTCGCAGTAATTGATATGTTGGGGGAGCTACAGTTACTTGTGTGGCATCTAAGTAGGACTTCGGGTTTCTGTATCGCCTTTTTTTTGAAAGAGTTCAAAGTTGTGAAATGTATTCGAGATGGAATGGAATTATGGATTACCATTGTTTTAATAACGTGTTTATCTCGGAATTTGAACAATCCATAGATTAATCCACTCACTTTTAGCACCTTCATACTTGTAAGATTAATACGAGCATCATTGTTTGGGGTATTTTTCGTCTGAATGCCAATGTCACGTACGAATACAGTTTTTTTTGCAATATAAAAGTGATATATTAAGTTTGTTGAATAGATTCTTTATAGTGACCATATCTAATTTGTTCAATTATATATATGTAGGATCTTTATTAACTGATACATGGCCATCGGCCCAAAACAGTAAATACAAAATATTTAAATTATTTACAATATTTCAGCGGCTTCCCTCCTAAGTTTCATAGCATTAAATACAAACGCAGCTAAACGCTGTAGAAGTACATCATTTTGAGTTTTCAGTAATTCGATAAATTTATTTACAGTTGGTGGGGTGCAGTAGTAGTGTGGGATATAGAGACATCTAATGTGGTTATAAAAATTACAAACTAATAAAAAATGGAACTCGTTTTCAATTGAATTCGTATTGCAAAGCTCGCACGTACGTTGATCTCTTTCAAGATGACCTCTGTCTTTTTCAATTCGTAAACAATGTGATGAGCATCGTAGCCGAGATAGTGATTGCATATGGGTACGAATATGAACAGATCGTTGGGGATCGTTGAGGGCGTTTACGAACGCACGTAAGTGTAAATCGTCTCCCAAATTTCTCCAATTTTTGCTGCTCTAATTTGTTCAAAGTTTATGGTCTTCCTAATTGCAGTTGTTTTGTAATTAAGGGACATCATCAGTGCTTTTTGGTTGTATCATATGAGTATCATCTGAAGTAAGGAAACACGGCAATTTATATTGATGTTACTATCTGTTATTAGGATTAAAAATAACAGAAGCTAAGTCACTTTACCCAATGGCACACTTCTTATAGGAGATGATGGATGATTACTACGGATTGAGTACGATTACAATTGAAAGGAAATTGGCTTTCCATGTTCTAATTTTACCACTAATGCCTAGCTCTCGTAATCACGACGTAAAAGACTTTCGCTGGCAGCTAGCGGAGACGTGATAACGGAGACGGGCATCTTTGCTGTGACGTCGAATGTACGTGTTTTGTCGAGATATAGGTAATCTGTCGAGATCAAGGAGAAAGGAATTTCCTCGATTGACTCACCAAAGATCACTTCTTGCGTGATAGTCCGATATATCGGTTAACTGCAACGTTACAGGTACGGCAAGCTCTGTGTTTTTAAGGATACTGAGTAATGTTGGGATTGCGGAACAAGCGGCGATAATATTTTTTTTAGAAAATTTGAAACACTCAAGACACATTTGAATGCTCTGAGGTAACTGGCCTCGAGAGGGCGCTGATTCAAGAATACTGTAGTGTCCTTGTTTATGTTTAAAGTCAATACAGTACTAGTATATTAAAGCGGGGAGTCGTCACCTGCGCATGCTTCAGATGGCCATAGCGTGTCATTGTTTATAAACAAGCGTTTTTAGCGTGTGTTGTTATCGTTGCTTGGCACTCAATTCCCGCGCGTGCGCAGCTGACAACCCTCCCGCTTTAAGCTGAGCGACTATCGCCCATCTCATGAATACAATAATAAGACATTGACGATACATAACATGGAGAACAGTTACAGAGATATTCGTTATGGAGTTTTATAAACATAAAATCATATATTGGTAATTGTAATAAGACAGTGGTTCGGGGTAATATTACCATGGTAAGTAACGTGCAGCAGAGATTCGCATTTACAGTTTCAGTTATATGAGATATTGCAGGGTTTACGCGAGACTGGTATCCGATTCGCAATCCTCCCCCCTCCACCCCTCCGGCAACTCTCAATGAGACCACGTGCGACTGCGTTGAAAACCATGCTTATCTGACCTCTGTTGAATAGCGTGATTTGATTGGACACTACAAGTAGATGGCGCATCCAATCAGTAGAGCTGCAATAACCTTGGAATTAAAATTCAAATTATGACTAAAACGGTGGTATTGTGGTAATAGCTTACCGGGATAAAATGTCTAAATAATTTATGTTGAAGAATGTACGTGATAGATCAACAAATGATCATGGGCAGCCCAAATGAGCGACAGATCTAAGTCTACCATTGAAACATTATCAATAATAATAAAAATAACATGAATGGTAATATTCTCGGGGGCGCACATCCTGGCATTTTCTACCGCCTGGCAACCCTCGCGGTGAAAACAAAGACCAAAAACTCGCAGAAAACGTTAATTTGCGATGGTTGTTGAGAGTCCCCTGAACAGTGTAACAAGATTAGCCCTACGTGTGTAACATATATGAATTTGGTTGTTCGGGATTACTTCAAAGTTGAGTTTGTGTTGTTTTCTCCAGTTTTCACCGGCTCCACCGGCGTTCCACAGCAGCGCGCACAAAGCCCATAGAAATACGTGGTACAGTGGTGCGCGTCTTAGCATCGTAGAACGTCCGGACGTAGCTCCGCCCCCGAGGATAGAGTAACAAGTAAATCGGTGCCTGGTTATACATACCAAGGAAGTTCATTAATAATGTAAAATGAAAATTGATCGCCGAAAACGTTGATCATAAAACACCGCAACCACATATCTTGCAGCATGTCTATTGCGGTGATTAAAAGACTGTACACGTTACTTATTGTATTAAACGGGTCACTAAATTTAAAGCGTCGGGGTCTCCACCTGCGCATGCGTCAGATGGCCATAGTGTTTCATTGTTTACAAACAAGCGTCCACCCATGAGCCTTTTCGTTTTTAGCGTGTGCTGTTATCGTCGCTTAGGACTGAATTCTCGCGCGTGCGCAGGTGACGACCCTCCCACTTTATTTATAACAGCGGCTCCTGTTTTGACTAACATTAGTAGATATCTCATACTTTGAAACTTTTTAGCGCCATCAACGGTGACTGTGCGTTGAAATATGATGGAGATTATTGTAGACCTCATAGAAAAAAATGACATTGAAAATGTAATATGGCATTAGAACAGAAGTAAAACACTGCTGAGTTGTTTTGAAAAAACTCAATTTAAATTACGTGTCGAAATTTGAGATGCAGTGTCCTTTCTGCAATTGAAGAATCATTGCCGATCAGTGACAAAATGCACCCCGTGCTTCACACCCCAAAAATGGCGAATTTGACATTGACGCCAGCTATAATTAGTATCTTGATGAATATTACGACCAGAGATATGAAAATAAGTATATTATAATAATATAACTAAGTCAATTGAATATACAAATACAGGTTTATATTATTTAGTTTATTTTATAGGTCAAGTAAAGGCAGCTACTACAAACAATGGCCATAGTTTTAGTTACAGGTTTAAATATATACAATGGTTTAGAAGAGTTTGACATTGTTATTGTGAGATTCACACAGTCGGCCTCTGAGATTTTGTTGAGATTGAGAAAGCTGCCGACTTGTTTTACCCACTGATCTACCCACTTTTGATCTAATTACGGGCCAATTTATTGACAGGGCACTAGAGCACAGTTCAACGTACGCGTCTTGTTTTAATTACCCCGGGTAATCTTTCTGAATATAAATAGTGTATATATAAAACATTTTCCCCGGACTCCAGTAATTAAGGAATATGTAATATTAATAGCATAATATGTGACAAAATACAACTTAGTGTATAATAGTGTAAACGTTAACCGGGAAACGCGGTGAGTGGTGCGTTCGAATCCGGTCGATTGGAAGGCAATACGAAGCGATATCACTCTTAAAATAATTAAAGCCCCTTTCACAATTGGCGCCTCACTCGTGCGATAATTTTTTTTTCGAAAATATTTGTTCCGTCCTGTTGTAGAGGTGTTGTCTTTGAGTCGCAGGCAATGTATAAAATCGTACGTATTTGGGATGAAATCTCAGGAGTTCTCGAGCTTATATTGGGGGTGAAAAAAATCGTACAACGTTGCAAAGGGGGCAAGACAGGTCTTCCAATAGTCTTAGGGTGGTACAACGGACTCGTACGACAGGACGCATCATCGTACGACATGAAAATACTCGTGCAACACTCGTTCGGGGTCTTACGAGTGCGTGCAAAGTCGCACAACACTCGTACTGCCTGTCGTGCATTTATTTTTCATCGCGTCAGTCGCTCAAAATATCGGAGCAGCACGGGGTTTTTTTCCCGACCGAGATGCGACCATTTTGTCGCATCTGGATCGTACAATAAGTGGTACAACGGGAAAAATTTCGAGTCGCAAGCCTTTGTAGTCTGTCTGGCACCAATTGTGAAAGGGGCTTTACCTTGACTGTAAGCAGCTGCGACAACTACGCGCCGTTATTAGATTGTGCGTTTGTTAACACCACAGCAGAAATCACGAATGCACCTTATGTCCAATATATTCAAATCGTCACGGACAGAAGTTGGTCATGAAATGGCGCAAGTGATTAAGGTGGGAACAGCCACAAATGACAATATGTACTTTAGATGGTAAATAAATATACCTGACATTTAAATACAAACGTAAGCTGTTGGTGTTCCTAATTTGAATTTCAGCATTCGTATGAAGATGTATCAGCTTACACTATGGGTGATGGTACTCTGCCTTGTTCAGTCTGGCAGTTCACGTAAGTTATTCAGAGTTCTTGTGGTTCGTCGCTAATTATGTTGTTATTGGCAGTCATCTTCAAATATAAAGCATTGATAGGAGCTTCCAGAGTAGAACTAATGGCTAAATAATATTCGTGGCTCAAAAGACAAAGTTTTTTTTCTTCATTTACCCTACTATAAATACACTTCAAGTGCAAAGATATATTAGTATTTCAAAATAATTAATTTGCTAATTTTAAGTCTCAAAAATAAAATTTCATGAACTCAAAGTTTCACATGATGGATAAGATGTTCGATTAAACCAAAGAATTGAAATTTGCGTCAGGCCTTCTTACAGACCCCAAAATGTGTGACCGTAAAATACTGGGTGAATTTTGACAAAACGGTAATATGTCATCGGGTTTAAAGCGTGACGCCCTTTTTTATATTGAAACAACACAGTTTCGTTAAAAAGTTATAATGTATTTCGTTAATGTATTTCATTGAATACATCATAATTTCATTTTCATTTAAAGAAACTCGTACTTATGGGATATAAAATCTCATACTTGGAGCGGCTACTGGATTTGAATGTCCGATATTGTAATTAACTGCATATTGAATAGCTAGTGGAATTCACCACTAAATTCTATGCGGTGTGTAAGCAAACATTCATGGAACAAGAACGATGAATAGAATTGAGCTAATTTGCATTCAGGTCTTATCAGTGTTTGCTTGGCATATAATGGGGGAATTAGAGCACTCATGATTTGCCGCCCGCGTTATGCCACCGAGATTCCGAACTAGATTAAATTCGAGTCCCAGTATATAATCAGACACTTGGCAAAAGATTATATTGAAAAATAAACTACATGTATGTTTGCCTAAATAATAGAAATACCCAAATATGTTTTTGTGAGTGTGACGCCACTTAAATTACGGTTTCGGATTGAATTTAAATGTGGTCATTTGGAATTGTTGTGCTATTTGGTTTGTTACATTTGTGGCCAAGCGAAGTGGCAGAATATTCACGGCGTACCAAGGTGTCTTCGGGGTTGTCAAGCATGATGAATACGAGAAGTAAGTCAGCTGTTCATCTCGTGCATGTGGTTAGTTATGAGTTCATTCGTACTTCATGTATGATAATTCACATATTATCGACGTCGATTCAACGGCGAGTACGTAAATATTTGTGCAATTAACACATAATTTGACAGACGAATTGTGACGTTATCTGGCTTACAGATATCTTTGGTGTCATTCTGTCGTCGATGAGATGAATTATGATGGAACAAAGGTGGGCTGTTGCCTAATATGTAAACATGTTATTGTGACGACAATTGAACTAACATAAATTGGAATAATAAATAACCAAGCGCTAAATACACATGTCAACAATCAGCAATGCGATACTCAGGAACACGCACGTGCACTTTACTCTATATGAATATTAAGTAGTTGGTCTCTTTAACTTTTCACATATAATAGGCCCACCAGATAAGTATGTATCTTTGAGCAAATTGTTAGTTAACTCCATAAAAAGCCAAATATTTATCTTTGCTTATGCGACTTTAAATCGGTCTACGACTGTGTGTGTTAATATCATTTTGTTGCCGTCATTTTAAACCGATTGTATGTGTGATTTCATCATGTTGAGAGCAAATATTGTCACAACGTTCAAGTGCGTACATGAAGGAATGTACGGCGTCGCACACCTACACAGGTGAATTATTTACACAGAAATTACGTACTTCGTTTTTTTTTTTAATTACAAATTATTTATGTCAGTATTTTCTGTCTTTCCCCATTCCCCTTTGTCAAGATAGTGTGGTTTAGAATACAATGTCACTGGTAGGGGTATTCAAAGACATTTTAACGTTAGTCAAATGAAAAAAACGTATTGCATTGTATAACGCCGTGGTATAGCTGTCGTCATGTCAACGCAGCAGTTCTTATTATCTATATACTGTATTACTGCTTGTCATCAAACACCACTGTTTCTATAAATAGCTGGAGATAGGCGTACGGCCATGACATTACTGAGATAGTTAATATTTACGTGGTTTATAAATCAGGCATAGAATATACTTAAAAAAAACATTTTATTTTGCACACTTATTCGGAGATTGAAAACTCAATCATGGAACAATTGTTTTTCTGTTTTTTGTTTGTTTTTTTTCTTTCACACTTTTTCACTTGTATGCGTAAATGTGTTTTGTCAATTTGGGTGGACCTTATCGCCCTGAGACCATGTCGCTGAAAACATTTTTTTCATAAATCGCGCCCTCCACGGACAAACACTTCTCTGACGTAAACAAGTGAAAGGAAGCCGTTTCTTTGGTGTCGACATTATTGTAATCTGTAGTCGTCCGCTATAATGTTTTTGAGAGATTTGCAGTATCCGATATGACGGACTACCATACATCTGTCGCTTTTAGTAATATTCCTTACACTAATGCGTCATGTCGCAGGAGGGCGCGACTACTAGGAAATGTAAATCATCCTACCATACCCTATCTTAATAAGATACGACGTAACTAGACTATTTCATATGCCTCAAACTCTTTCTACATTTCAGAAACAACAGATATTGACGGCACACCGAACCAGGGTGAGTCACGGAGCGTTCCCAAATTATGAACAAAAAAGAATTATGCTGTAGTTTTAGGAAAGTTATACCACTATTTCATTCAGTGTTTTTTGTGCATACATAAATATATGACGAACACAAACCATGTGCACAATTCGGGTTCGGATGGTACGCGAACACACGTACTCCTTCATGTTTCAGCTGTATTATATGCAATTAAAATATCCATCCACTGTGTGCCATGACTTTTAATACTTTGTACAACAACTGACTTAGTATTACATGGCGTAAATGCAATGAACTTCTTGACAAACCACAATCTGATTAAAATCCGATGTAGTGTACGGGCTTTAATTATTTT